TTGAGCCACATCCCCAGCCCAACTTCTTTAATTTTATACATTAAGAAAAAGATTAATTTTAATATTTTAGCTTGAAAATGCATTTATTCAAGTAACACTCTAAGAAAATAAACTAATTCTTTTCTTCTTTTTTATTTTTAACTTTTAAACCCATGTTTGGCCTCTTCAATCAAAGTGATTGAGGGGAAAAATTAAATTTAAAAATGTGTCATTCAGAATTCACTAAGCCAAATCAGGGTACAACAAATATAAATAATGAACTTTCCAAATAACGTTGCTTTTGCCCATTTGTCAAATTTATACTTCTGAAAGCTCAAGATGGCACAAAGTTTTGGAGAGATGCTTCCTCCAGTCTTCTGCCCATTTATTTAGTCCACAATTAACATGGGGGCTTCCTGTTCTTGGTGATGGAATACACAGTGAACCTGCAGACCAGGCACCTGCCCCATACCAGCTCACAGACTAGGTGACATGGATAGTGAGTAAATATGCAAGATGGTACCAGATAATGATTTTCCCAATGAACAGAATAAAGCAACATGACAGAGAGTAACTGGGTCTGAAGGAGCAGCAAGCACTTGAGAGTGGGACTCTACAGCTAGTTCAACACCATCCTGGGCTTTGGCAGAGACTCTCAGGACAGCCCTAGCCCTGGTTAAGAGCACTTAACTGCCTTCCAGAGCTTAAAAACTCTGGTCTTAAGCTTTCAATCGTTGTTCTCATGATATGAGAAAAATGAGATCGTTTTCAATCAATGTTTTAACCCAAAGAAATGATAAATATTTGATGAGGTCGATAGGCTTACCCTGATTTGATCATTCCACAATGCAGACATGGACCTCATAAATCTGTTCAACTTTTATGGGCCAATTATAAATTTTTTAAATAATTTTTTAAAAGTTTGAAAACCACTCAAACAATCTCTGTCAAAATACCCCAAAAAAATTCTCTAACAGCAATAGATTGCTTTCATGTTATTATTATTATTGTTGATTATTATTGGCCAGTGAATCTCTGGACACTTCAGTGAGTTCACACATCTTTTTATCTTAGTATTTAAACAACCCAATAAAAGTCACCACGAGCACAATGATAAGTGAGTTTTCAGATCCTAAAACCTGAATGAGCATGCACTGCTCCTTAGCCTCCAGGGCTAATATTCATGAGCACAAAAGGTGGCAATTGTCAGCTCTGAGGTTTGTGGGCAGTGTAGCATGCACTGGTGTTGGGTACAAATGCACCCTTTATAGCAGAAGCAGAGTAGATTCAACTCGAATCCACTGGACCACCCAGCCCTCAGGGCACCAGGGCCAGCCATATGTACAAGCTGAGCAGGAAGGCAGGTAAGGCCTCTAAATTAATGGAAAAGGGACAAAAAGAGCCACCTCTGGCCATTAAGGTACTGTACAGGCCTTCCTGGGGGTTGGGATGGGACAGAATTGCCGAATGTACACTCTGTGTCTATCTCCCCCCAACAAGCCACATCCACCAGTAGAGCATTTTCCAGCCATGGAGACACTGAATCTCATAATTCCTTTGACATCTCTCTCTCTCTTTCTCTTCCTCTCCATCCTTCACCCCGTAGAGCAACCAGGGCAGAGAAGATGCCCTCCCTAAAAATCCTCAGGTCACCCTGAGTCTCTATCCTAGCTGCTAATGGTGCAATCGGTTGCAAAATTAATACCGTATCTCATTCAATTAATGCATGGCTCATTCCTCCTGAGCTTAACTCAATTAGAAGAAATGTCAGGCACCTGGCCCCAGAATATGAATGAGCCTGTCTCCCAGTCCAACCTCTGCTTCCTTTAATGCTAAAGCAGTCAGCAAATTAATATGCATCAGCTCCTATATTTTTGTGCAGCGTGAAGGGGGTGATGAGAGGCCAAAGGACAAGAGCTGCAAAGAGGAGGCGTGTGCAAGGTGCAGTTGGATGCACCATGCTGACTCTGACAAAATCCAGGGCTGCCATTGGTTAGCTGGTCAGACAATTGAGCCAACTTTGGCCAGGGTTGAATTTTTCTCACTTTTTCATGGAGCTGAGCTGGTCAGTCCTGGGTATTTTGGTCACTGGACAAGTTCAAGAGCATGTGCGCATTCTCCTTCCAAGCAAATGAATACTGCCCTTTCTGTTTACTCCCCCAGCACTCTCCACGGAGTGAGTACAACTTTGTGTAAAAGTTGTACTAGTCAGTTTATTCTGTGGCCCATTGGCCATCTTTGTTGCATTAATTTTTTTTCAATAAATGAAATAGAGATGGATCCTAAGCAAAAATGTAGAGTTTTAAACCTCCTATCTCCTTATAAGATGAACTGTAAAACTTAATTTCCAAAAAGTTTCAAATCAAAGACTAGGTTTATTCTAGATAAGCTTCCTCCAAGTAAAAGGATGTTAACACCTATGGGATGTATGTTGTCAAAAATATTGACCTGACTTATTATGGGTTAATGGTAGAGGATGAACAATCTGGACCTGTTATTATTTGTTCTTTCTGAGCCTGTTATTTCTACAGGGGAGAAAATAAAGTACATAAAGTAATAACACCATTTATTCACCAAATGTTTGTCAAGGTTAAGATAAAATACCAAGCATCATGCTGATCCCCAGGGACATAGAAGTGAAGAAAATAAATGCATTCCCTGTACTCAAGGACCTTGCTGTCTGATGGCATATGAAACATTCAAATAAGCAATTGTGGTGGGAGTCGGGGGTTAAAGTACACTGAGGGAAATTGCAATCCAAGAACAAGGGGTACACCCTCACTGAGAAGGAAAGAGAGACCCTCGGTCTCAGTCTTTAAAAGTAGTAAGCCCTTAAGAAAGAAAGCTATTTTATGTTAACTTCTCATGCTCTGGAAGAAATTGGATGGCCCTTATTTAAATTGATTTGCATACTATACTAGAGGGTGATGTTAGAAAAAGTATGTCCTTGAGTAATAATATCAGGAACCAGATTTTGGTTATGCTTAGCCTAGCTTCGTCATTCCATAATCCTTGTATTAGTCCATTTTCTGTTGCTGTCATAAAATACCTGAGACTGGATAGTGCACAAAGAAAAGAAGTTTATTTAGCTCACAATCTTGAAGGGTTAAAGGACAAAATCAGGCAGCCCCTTTAATTCAGCCTCTGGTGATAATGGCATCATGCAGGAGTGTATGCAAGGGTGACCAATAGAAAACCAAGAGTAACAACTTACTCTTATGGGAATCTGCTGGTATGCTATAAGAATTGCATTAATCCCTTCAAAGAGCAGCACCCTCCATGATCTGATCATCTTCCCCTAGGCCCCACCTCTTAAAGGTCCCCCCCCACCTCTCACATTGCCACACTGGGCAGCGAGCTTTCAGCATGTGAACCTGTGGGGGACAAATCACAGCTACCCCCATGAGTAGAAAGACTTAAGTCAGCTTCACAGACCTCAAGGCTCTTGCCACAGAATAGTGGATCAAGTGACATGTCCCCAGGCAACAAAGCCCTGTAGAGAGCAATATGGCTCCAATCAGCAACATTTTGAGGGTAGTGATGGACAATCAGAAGGCCCATTCCCTTAATGCTGGTGAGTTAACCCTGGGAGAGATCTCTTGTAGATGGCCAGGGAATCATGTGAGCCATGGGTGCAGCTGAAGTAAAAGCGGTCCTCACCCCTTCTGCCTGTGTCCCTGTCACAGCTCATGTTTGCCCCACACAATACTGGACTGCAGACCCTGCTCCTTTTCAACTTCCCAGCAAGAAGTCACTCCTAAATCCTAACGCACTATGGAGATTCCTAAAAAAAAAAAAAACTAGGAATGGAATCACCATTTGACCCAGTTATCCCACTCCTCAGTATATAGCCAAAGGATTTAAAACCAGCATCCTATAGTGATGCAGCCACTTCAATGTTTATAGAAGATCAATTCACAATAGCTAAGCTATGGAACCAACCTAGGTGCCCATCAATAGATGAGAGGATAAAGAAACTGTGGTGTATGGAATGTTACTCAGTAACAATGGAATGCTACTCAGCCAATAAATGGATGGAACTGGAGACTATCATGCTAAGTGAAATAAGCCAATAGCAAAATAAAAAATAAAAAAACCAAAGGCCAGATGTTCCTCTGATATGTGGATGCTAACACACAAAAAGTGGGGGTGTAGAGAAGAATGAAGTTCAATGGATTAGACAAAGGGGAATAAAGGGAAGGAATAGGAATAGGAAAGGCCGTGGAATGAATCTGACATGACTTTTCCATGTTCATATGTGAATGTACCCCAGTGAATCTCAACACAGTGAAAATCCACAAGACTGGGATCCTAATTAGAATAAGATATACTCCATGTTGGTATAAATATGTCAAAATAAACTCTACTGTCATGTGTAACTAACGAGAACAAATCAATTTAAAAAAAAAAAAAAGAAGAAGTCACTCTTATAAGGTTAACAGTTACTTTACCAAATGCCATGGAGAAGAGAAGGTTAGACCATATACCCCATTAACAGCCCAGCTTAAAATCACCCACTCAACATTTCTGTCCTTCCCAGTGTCCCTTCTCAGTGACAGGAAAACTGGGAATTTCTCTTTCCTAATCCCATCCTGGTATTGTCTCTGACCCTCCCTCTGCCCCTCGCCCTCTGTCATGCACAGTAGTTTTATATCTTTTCTGAATCTTGGCCCCAGTCAACACCTAGTCCCTGAACACTGAGCTCCACTTGGAAACAGCTCATTAAGGAATCTCTTCAATGAATATGGTCTCTGCCTATTAGGGATTCCAGCAAATTTTTGCTAGGGGAATACAATTTTCTTCAAGTAATAAATAAGAAAAGGTATGAGCAAGATCTAAAATAGAAATATGGGACCAGCTGTGCCTCCTTGTTGATCCTTGGACTCCATAGCGTTCCCCAGTTTACCAAGGGTCATCAACTTTTCCAGCCATACTCAGAACCCCAGCTTTTCTCCATCCCATATCCCCTGAGAACTAGCCTACCAAAGCCCAAAGTTCTCTCTGCCCCCACCTGTCCACAGGTATACGGATGTTGGACCAGCCATTTATGACGGACATCATCGAGGCCTCCTCCATCAGCCACATGCCACAGCTGATTGACATCTACAGCGCCAGCTGGGGCCCCACAGACAATGGGAAGACGGTGGATGGACCCCGAGAACTCACGCTGCAGGCCATGGCGGATGGTGTGAACAAGGTAACGAGGAGGCCCCAGGCCACTCAAAAGGGAGGGTGTGATGGGTGAGGGAGCGGTGGCAAGACAGTGGATGAGGAGGCAGGGCAGGGGGCAGAGATGGGCTGTTTCCCTGTGTGTTGGGGCAGGCCCTGTGAGAAATGGACACCAAAATAGGTTTGGTGATACAGGAGATTTTCTGGAGGGGACGCTGTGAAGAACACAGCAAGAGAGGAGTGTGGGAAGCTGGAAGGCCTCACACTGTGGGGTGACCTGATCCCTGTGAAAGAGAAAGAGAACAGGAGAGGAAGTATCTCAGACTGCAGCGCTGCACTAAGGAGGTTTCTACTGGGCCAACAGGTGGTCCTCATACCAAAGTCACCCATCTCAATCAGGAAGGGGCCTGCAATAGCACCCCACCACACTCAGTGGTTGGTGGACACAACCCACCAGAAGTAATGTCTCAGCTCATACTAGGTGGTAGATCCAGGAGCAGCAGACTCCATGATGCACCCATAGCAGCAAGTCCAAGCAGTGAATTTTATAGCCATGGATACCTGATATTAGCCCAGGAGTGGACAGTGCAAAGAAGGGACAAAGACAGAGCCCCAGAAGGAGGCCAGCCATGACATGTGGGGCAACAACTGCATATTAAGGGACAGGAGACTCCTTCTCTGAGACCTCAGGACAGGAGTCACCCCAGGCAGGACACTAGTCCAGGATCCAGAACAGAAAACGTGCCCAGTTCTCCTGGGGTCAAGTGCCCACTCCATCACTCAGTATTGGAGCATCTATCAACAACTGACCTAACCTGTGACGGAGCCTGTTTTCTTACCTATAAAATGGTCATAATGTGGAGTCCCTCGTGGGATCTGGATGGGGATCCCTGTGAGGTGTAAATGAGATAAATATGCAAGTGCATGGTGCTGGGAAATGGCCAGAAAATGCTAAGTGTTTGTCCCGATCACTTAGCCAACCACCCCAAAGTTTCATGGCATAAACACCACAATTATAGGCTTGTGGATTCAATGGGTTAGGAATTGGGGATTTCCTGTCTCTGCTCTATAATCCCTGGGGTCTAAGGTGCCACAAGGCTTTGACCTGAGCATTGGTTACTAAACTCCGTGTGTGTCCTTGCAAGATGTTTTGATGCACAAAGCTTAGAGCACAGCCTCTGGTCCACTTGAGAATGTGAGAAATGCAATGTCAGCCCCTCCCCACCCCCTATCATCCAACTCTGCATCTGAACATTGGTATTAAAGTTTGGAGCTATTGCTCTAAGCGACCTTTGGGATCCATATCCTGTAACCCTAAGAGACTGAGATAGGGCTTTTGTAAATCCACAAGGGGACGGTAGAGGCAACACATTCTTCTGGCAGTAATGTCACGGTATTTCCTCATCAAAGTGATGTGTTAGATGGATGGTTTAGGGTCTAAACCATATGCTCTGGTTATCTCTGTGCAAACAGGAACAGGGGACCAGGTAAGTCTACTAAAGGGATTTCTTGTAAAGATGCTCAAGGAGGGATGAGGGCAGCGGGATGATATGGGCAGGTCCTCAAACTACCTGGGATCAGATGGACCTTCTGGATCTAAAGTGGCTCAGGATGCCAGGCACAGGGCTGTGTGGAGATCCACAACTCTGCTGTCACGGAGCTGGGCCACTCTCACCCCACCTGTTTTCCTGTGGCTATGTGCCTCCCATTCTCCAATCAGGTGACAGTTCCACCTAGACATGGCTCCATGTCCATTACAACCATGCCCATTACAACCCATCAGCCTCAACTCTAGTCCCTGCCTCCAATGCTTTCAGGGAAATTTTGGCCCTAAATTAGGGGACATATCCACCTCCCCCGAGACTAGGCTCAAAACTAAGAAATATGATTCTGTTGGAAAGCCACAGAACTTGAAGTCACTGGACAGTCAGAAGATTTCCAAAACCTCCTTTTTCTTTTCTACTCTGGATATTGTCTGTGATGGTGGTCATCTGTTCTCAGGTGGTCTTTGCAGCCCTCTGATGGAGAAACTTCTGCTGTGCTATTGAATTATTCCAAAGGTCTGAACAGAGATGTAAGACCATATGTTCCCCTTCAGTTATAGGGTTGAATTGTGTACCCCCACATTTACACACTGAAGTCTTAACCCCCAGCACCTTGGAATATGACCTTCTTTGGAAACAGATGTAATCAGTAAGATGAGGTCATACTGGAGTATGATCCACTATGATTGGTACCCTTAACCAACATATTGGTTAATCCAGTTTATTATCATTATAATGATATTATTGGAAGTAAGAATATTATTAGTATCCTTATTTTTTTAAAGAAAAAGATGGAATTTGGGCACAAATGTATACTTAGGGAGAATGCCATGTACAGATAAAGGCAGAGCCTGGGTGGTGCATCTACAAACCAAGAAATGCCAAAGATTGCCCCAAAGCACCAGAGGCCAAGGGAGGGGCAGGGAATAGATTATTTTTTTTTTGCAGCCCTCAGAGGGAAACAACCATGCTGACACTTTAATGTTGGACTTTTAACTCCCAGAACCAATAGGCAATTAATTCCTGCTGTCTCTGTGACCCAAGTTGTTGTACTTTACTTCAGCAGCCCTAGAAGGCTAAAGAAAACTAATACACACTTCTTTCAAATGGACCGTCAAGAAAGAAATGTGGCCAAATTCTAGCAGTGTGGAAATGATCTGGTCACCCTTCAAGGTCACCTTGATATCACCTGGATTCCTCTTCTCTAACCAAGAGGGTTGACAGTTGATCCAGTGACAGCTTTTGTCCTTCTCCTTTGGGACCTCATGAGGGCGCCTTCCTCCATTCTCTAACATAATTACCTCAAAGGAATAAGTATGCCAAAAAAAATTCATGAGGCAATCCTAGGAGAGAGACATATTCCTGAGTTATAACTAATAATGAAGATGGTACCCAGTTTCTGAGTTCCAGCAATGCACCGTCCTGGAATTGGCTCCTGCTGACCTCACACTGGTAGCTTGGAATTACACCTGGAAATCTGCAAGCCCCACAGCTAAAGATCCTTTATGTCCCTATAAGAGACCTCTGGTTGTTAACCACACCCGCAGCTTCCCTTGAATTATAGCATTGGCTTGGTTATGTATTCTTCCCACAAGCAAAGGCCATCCTTGCTTTCATGAGAATAGAAATTCCCTTTGGAAAGGGGAAAACTTGAAGGAAAAACACCTAAGACCCTGTAAGACTTGTGTTTCCCCAAAATTACAAGTTTTCCAACCAGAGTCACTAGTTACTCCAAGACTGTGGAGAACAACTTTTCTAAATAAGTCAAGACCTCACTTCTTAGGAGATTCAATACCCAGGCTTTCAATACAAGGGTCCCAGAAACTCGGTTAGGAATGGGAATGAGTCCTTGAAAATCCAATAGACATGAATTTTCACTGAAAGGCATTTTGTCACCCCAAACCTTCAGAGAGTTAGGCAAACAGGTGACGTGTGCCCTCTGTTCACATTAATAATGCAGATGGTACCCCGTGCAGAGCATCCCTGGGTGACTGCTGTCATTTTCCACCAGCTTCCAAACTTCCCCATCCCATCTCAGTGCTGAGCACTTCTCTCTCCTCCATCTGTAGCCTCCCTAGCTGCAACTAAAAAGGCCTTTTCAAGTGGGATTGTTCTGCAAAACATGTCAAATGCGCCAAAACTTAAGAGAAAAAAATTGTTACGGCTTATCTTCAGATGACAGCATGTAAATATTTTAGAAAAGAAAGTGAATATGATGAAAAATACATGATTTCTCATTTGACTTTTCCCCAGACTATGGGAATGAATCTTTCCTTGCTTCAAGGTGACATTTTTGGGACAGTATTGTGGAATTTTGTGAGTGACAGTATCAGACACTAGCAAAGATTTCCTCCTGATTATTTTAGTTGCTTCATCTATTCTAAAAGAAAGATCCACCTCTCAAAAGTGATACCCACCCAAACGTGAAGTCTGATAATTACCTATCACACAGTTGTCATTCTTAGGTTTGTTTTTTAATCTTGGCATCCTGCACATATTTTCTGTTTGATCAACAGAATAACAATAAAAAGGAAAAGGAGCCAGGCATGGTGGCCTGAGGATGTGGCTCAGTGGCCAAGTGCCCCTGAGTTCAATCCCCGGTACCAACCCCCCAAATTAAAGGGAAAGAGGGAAACAAAAGAGGAGGATGAGACCTTTACCAGACACACATTTTGCCACAGGCCCCATCATGCCCAGTTGTCTGACACCCACTTCACACATAAACATCATCTACCTGGCTCTTTGGAGATCTGAATTTCCATCTTCTAAGTTTGCTCAATAAATACTTGAGGGAAGCAGCAAGGAGCAGGCAAGAAGTAAGGAAAGAAGGAAACCATTTCCCCTTTGTTTCAATCTTTGTCTCTCTGTGTAGTCTCCATGTTGGTTTTAGAGTGAAAGCATTTTTCACATTACAGACGGGAAGTGGGTGACAGAGACCTCTGAATTATGAGATAGTGCAATAACTCACTTCTGTCTTAGTTTGGGATCTCCCAGCAGCAGACCCTGAGACAAGATTTGAGTTCAAGCCAATTATTTGGAAGGTAAAGGGAATATCAGAAGTAAGTGGGGAGCTATGATAAGAAACAGAAGGGATCAATTCAAACTGTATAATCCCACCAGCCACAACCATGGACAATTGGGAAATCATGTAGAGCACACAATGAAGTTATCCCACCCTATGGCAAAGGTGCTGGGATAAAAACTGGATAAGGTTTGTCGGCAAGGAGTGGAAATGCCTCCGGATTTGCAACCAGAGGCCAGGTATATGGAGCAGGCTTTAGCCTCTTGGGAGAAAGCCCTAAGACTGAGAGATGCATATGCTGACATTAGGAAATTCCCAGGCCACCAGAGGTTCTCATGTCCACAGGATATGCGCTGAGACCCGCTGCCATCTGCTCAACACAGAGTGTATTGAGCAAAACCTAATCTGAGACACAGGGTAGTGACTCTCCAGAAATATAAAGCACATGTCAGACGACGTGTT